GTTAACAAATAAAGCAGGATAGAGGGATCGATCGATTTCTAAAAAATATAAGATCTGTTCTAGCAATTCTGGTAAATCAAAAATATTCAGTTGCACCATTCTTAAGTAATGTATTATTATATATCTTTAATCGAAAAAACCAATGCTTGGGTAATTTATTTAGACACACATACTACGCATTTTCCTGATATTCTCAATTGCACTTAACCTCACAACTAGTTTCATCGAGCAATATAAGAGTTTTATTTGGGAAGTCCACCTTCATTGCATTTTCCTGGAACCATGAGCCACCCAATCGCAATGTTTCTTCAGGAGTGTTAATAACAAAAACATCAGTAGCTTTTACTTGCTTCCATTTAGAGTTGTGAGACAGGATTGAAATCTCTATCTCATGAATTACTCATATAGTGTCGAGATTGCTAATAGGACTGTATACTTCTGCATCAGAGATATCATCGATTTTTAAACCTAACCCATTTACTACTTCCTTACCTATAATAGCGGAGCTAGTGTCAAAGACACATATTACAATCAGTACCGAATTCTAATATAGTTGCAACTGGTACTTTACTAATTTCGCAGGATAAAGTTATCATTGTGATGCTTTATTATAATTATATATTCAATAATGTATTTTTTACTTTGTATTAATAATAATTTAACATTTACAATGACTGAGGATAATAACAATAGCAGAGGTAGATCAAAAAATATGTACCAAGGCACTAGCCCCACTATTGAAATCGACTATGATGAATAATTGGCCAACCTTACGCAAAGGCAATTAAAATCACATGTGATTAATATCAGCAGAGCTGGTACGGCCAATGGCAAAGATATAGAAAGTACACTCGATTCAGGTGGACAATGTCCGGTTATCACCTGTGGAAAAGTAAAGGAGATGGGTTTGGAAATAGATAGTGTAAAGCCGCATAAAAGGATACCTAGGACCAAAGGGGTAACTCTAAAGAGCCATATTACTGATAGAGCGATATCTGGTATTGTTAAACAAGTATCAGATAAAAAAATTCAGATTTCTATTCGCCAATTACTGAAGATAATGAAACCCGAGGTTCGTCAAGATATTATGAACTCGATGGTAAAGTACTGCAATTCTCGGCGCATCCCATATGAAGACTAAATGACGATGTAAAGTTAGAAAAAAACAAATTTTTAACAATACCGCATCTAAGTCCTCATTTGAGTCTGAATCGTCTAATGATGATAAAGATTTTAGTATGAATGTGCCAGTTGCAAAATCAAAGAAGCACGATTAATTCCCATCATCAGAAAATTTACCATACAAATCAATGATATCCTCGACTTCAGATGTAGAAGTATTTTTATCAATTGGCTTAGTTATAAAAGCTCGAATTTCAGGTTCAGGCTTTAGATCTGAGTCAAGATCAGAATCCGAAGTATCACCCTCAGCATAATACATTCCAGAATCATAATGATCTATCTTATGCCTCATTGCAATTCTGCTGAGGAAAGCAAGATGTTGTGAAGTTAGATTTTGACCACTATGAACTCTAGAAGCATGTTTACCTCCGATTTTTCTTAATCTTTTAGCTGTAATACCATATGGTTTTAAAAATTTACTAAATACTCTTGTACTGCGTTTTCCATTAATACTATAGACAGGATCACGCAACTTTCCAATTGCTATTGCATTTTGGATCCAGGTAAGCAACTCTCTTGCACGTTCTGGATTCTTTTCCATGGATAGGAATGGTCGAGGTTCAGGATTGTTTTTTGCTTCTCCTTTATTTTTAATATACCCAGTACAATACCAAGAGTAATCGGGATTATACCATTCGGGAGGATTTGATTCGTCAGGCTCATAATGGATAATGCGAAGAGTAGTTACTTCAGCGGGTCTCATGCTCAACATCATGATCGTATCTGCGAGATTTTGTAGAGTGGGGGTCTCAGTGATACGGATATTCTGAAGTCTTCTAAGCCCCTCTTCTAAAGAGAAGTGTTTAGGTGTTTTAGGTCGACTGATTAATTCCCGTTCAAGTTGCTTTTTCTGTATTTTATTAGAAGCTCGAGTAATTTCTGGATTCTTGGCTAACGAAATTATTTTGGGATCGACTCCAGCATTTTCCAATTCCTTACGATACAATGAATAACGTAAGCTGGAAGCAACTATTTCCTTATCACTATCATTTTTCGTCTTAACTAATTTTAAAGTATCAACATATATATCAAATAAATCCCCACTTTCAGCAAAACGCTGAGCCCTTTCCTTGATAGTAAATTTTTCTTTTCTTTTGTCTGGCACGAGAGCCTTTATCTGATCTTCACTGAATGAACGTCAGCGAAGGGCCTCTTTCACAGCTTTACGAGCCTTCCAATTTGGAAGCATAGCATTAAGCTCATCAGCATGGGCACATAATTGAAGTGGGGTTGATTCAGCTGATAGGTTATATTTATTTAGGAACTGATCCAAAATAGAGGTAAAGCTATTAGTTTTGGGATTTCTGGTTTTTCGAACAGTTGCCATGATAAGTATGAAAATAGTATATATATCGATAAGTAGATTGTGATTATACATTAACCTACTTATTCTTTCAAATCGAAAATTAATTATCCCAGGTCAGTATAGCTATGCCCAAAAATTGAATGGGTCATAATTAATGTAATTCTATCGGAAAATGGACGCGAACAAGACACGGAATAGATCGAAGGTTTTAGAATCCGTAGCTCTACGAAATAAGATTGCGCGAAATATAGAAGGTATCAAGGAGGATATAGCAATACTCAAAGAGGTCCTGGAAAAAATAATCGATATATGCCAAGTACATGGTACACACCAATGCCTTGGGTCAGATCTGTCGATTTGAAATTTAATAATACATAGATATAACGAAAAAATTAACCTTGAGTGTGATGACTCAGGTTATATCTGTTACTAGATAAGATGGTTTATTTTTTATAACGCTCGCGCAAGAGCAAGTATATAATCTGCCCCTAAAATATTGGTCTTTATAAATGCATCATATAGAGCGTTTGGTCTATGTTTAGAGAGAGTCAAATTTGGGCAATGGAGGAATTTCATGAGGATATTATCTTGCCATTTTCTTGTCTCCTTATTGTCCAGCCAAATTTTAGCAAATTACGTATAGCGAGCTCATTCCAGTTTGCTTTGAGTAGGATGTCTAATAATGTTAATTTCCCATTAATTTTTGTAAGAAGACTTTTTTCTGCAACAATATCCCCAATCTTATTAGATACAATCGATAGACATTTTCTTAGTATTGACATTTCATTGAATGGCGGGATCAAAAGTCTTTCCTCTTTCCAATGCATGTAATTACTGCGTAACAATCTATTATATGCTGGCCCATTGATTACAATCATACGATTAGTTTTTGGGTTATAGATTTTTGGCTTTCTTGAACATCTACGCAATTTGAATAACTCATCTGAGGTAATCGTTTCTTTGTTATATTCCGGCTCTTGGATATACATGATATATGTGTTACTACTTATGAAAATGATAATAGTTGATTGTTACTTATGAAAATGATAAGTTTAATTGATTATTTCTAAAGGACTCAGATTATATATGAAAAATAAATGATATTACTTATCTATTAAATAAGTTCAGAAATTACTTCGTAGATATAAATCGTATGCATAGAAATTAATTGTGTAGACGCTTTGGGATAGCGATCAACAATAAAGTTTTTTCCTCACATTTGTGTTTATAATATCTGTATGCTCTTTCCTTACCTTGTCCGCATGGGACATAAAGCTGGACACTCGATTTAGTCCCTCGATCACACCCTTTACACGGTTCTGGGATTATTACGGCATTTCGAATTTTGAATGCATGGGAAGCGCAATATTGCCCTCTCAATGGAATTTTGCATAAATGGGTTTCGCCGACTAATAACCAATTACAAGGCATTTCAGCTGTACTATTATTCTATATACACTTTCATAT